CAGGCGGGTCTCGAACCCACGGGCTCAGGCAATCCACTCACCTCAGCCTCCCAAAGGCGCGGGATTACAGGCTGAGCCACCGAGCCCGGCTGACCACAGGATTCTAGTGTGAGAAAAGTTATTCTGGTTAAAGAGGGAGATGAGGGTAGAAATTAAAACGTGAACAGAAGTTTAGGGAGCTAAGAGCTGCCACCCAGCATAACCTTTCAGGGACACTATGTAAACCAAAAATAAAATTTTAAGCCCCCCAACCAACTGAATAGATACCCTGAGGGCCCTGAAGAAAAAGAATGGTTGGACAGCCCTCATTATACCCACTGTCTTATGTAGATTTAGGCACAACTGGCTAGCATTAACATCAAAACAGAGATCAAAAGACTGAGAAAATAGACTTAGTGGCAATAAGATACCAATTTCCAACCTGACTTTTGTATATGACAGATAGCAGACCTTAAAAAAAAAATTTTTTTTAGCACAAAATACATTTCTTTGAGATATGATGAAGTGACCCTGCAAAACTTTCTCAGGTAAATTCACATCTACAGTGAACACCTTTTAAAATATATAACAACTATTCTCTCTGAAACAGGCTACTTAGAGGCTTCACCTACATAACAAGAAACTTGACTTTCACAATTCCTCTTGTCTTAACTCAAGTATTTATTTTACTAACCTCAAGTTCTTTAGACAGAGCTCAACTCTTTCTACCAATTGCTAAAAATCTAAGAATCCACTGATGCTCTGTAAGCTCCCCAGCTTGGAGATACCATGCTTTTCCATGTCCAACCAAGGTAAACCTCACGTGTATTGATTTCTGTTTTGCCTATAACTTCTGTCCCCCTAAAAATGTATACAACCAGGCGGTAATTCAACCATTTGGGGCATATGTTCTCCAGATCTCTTCGGAGGTGCCACAGACCTATGTCAGTCATATTTGGCTCAGATGAAACCTCTTTAAGTAATTTATAGAGTTTGGTTCTTTCTTCAAAAACTATTTTGTTTCACCTGCCTCTTTTGTCACCCCATTTTTTTTTTTCAGTCAACCACAGGGGTTGACTTGTCTTCTCTGTAGCTACTGTCTCTGCATCCAGTTTAAGCAACCCACATGTTTAGCTTGCTGAAGAGTTAATACAATTATGGCTTTTCCTCTATCCTCCTATTCATGAAGCAAGCAAAGCCCTTAAAAGATTCACTGATTTATTCAACAAATATTTTAAAGATTCATTGATATTTATTCAACAAATGCCAATTGCTTTTCCATGAGAAGCTGTGCCAAGCATTAGGAATACACTGGTGATTAAGACAATTGTATATGGTTGTTTTAAGAGAGTGACGTGTGTCTTATTCAATCACAACCTCTATCCCCTCCTCTCTTCCTTCTCATTCTTTCCTTCTTCACTCAAACCCAGAAGAAAAAGAATCAAACAAGGAACACCATTGTCCCAGGCATATTTACTTACATCATATAATTTACAAAAACCCAATCATAAGGCAGTGTTATCCACATTTAACAGACTACAGTCTCAGAAATGTAAATATCTTGCACAATCTCCAAAACGGCATAGCCAGAAAAAAATAAAAAATAAATTTAAAAAGTTGAGCTTTTAGTCAAGTCCAACTTTTAAAGTATGGGGTTCTTTCATATGCTGCTTCTTAGGTGCCCAAAAAAAGGAAAAAATAACAACAAAAAAGCCATTTATTGAAGGATTAAAAAAAGTCTTCTGTCATATAAAATGTATGCAAAAAACTACTGACAAATTTCCTAAGAACAGCCTGACCATTGGCCATCCAGAAAATTTGGTGGAACAGAGAGGGAAATTGTTGTCAGACTCTGACAAGACCTGGGAGGAGTTGATGAGGCATAAAAGAGTAGGATGACATGTCTGTAGACATTGGAAATTCTGAGTCTCTTGAACATTAGAAACTTAATTGAGGGACTAGGGAAGTTTTGCTTTGTCCCCCTGTCCTTCCTCACCTCCCTTTCCCTGAAGGGTTTTGCCCTATAATGGCCAGGGTGATGGGAAATACAGGCAGGTTTCTGGCAATATGCATGATGTCAAGTAAGGTATTAAAGTTATTAAAGTATTGAAAAATAGCGCATAACTATCTTTGTAAGCTACTGTTCTATTACACTTGCACTTGTTAAACATCTGCCTCATGGTAAGCTATAACTTTCTGCGTAGTTGCATCCATTGTTCTAGAATTCTGCTTCTCAAACTTAACATGCAAATGAACCACCTGGGGAGCCTGTTAAAATGCAAATTATGGTACATTAGATCTAAAATTAGACCCAAGATTTTGCATTTCTAACAAGCTTCTGCATGACACTGACTGATGCTGCTGGTACCATATTGCACATTACATGAATAATAGAACCTTTTGTGTCCTTAGACCTGTTTTTTTACATTATTCGATTGAGCCATTTGAAATTGCCTTTAATGAGTGTCAAGAATGGTAAAATATCAGTGAATGCATATGGTGCAACCAAATTAACAATTTACTATCAATACTCAGTACTTTGCTCTGTAGACTTAAACAGGACATTAAGTGTAAAAACATATTCCCAGCTGCCATAAATATTTATTATGTGTGATTTTTAAAAATATTATAGGGAGTATTAACAGAAAAGTAAAAAAACTAAGAATGAAGGTAAGTGTGTTGATCATTTTCTATCAGGTTTGTGATTCTATAATCTGCAATGATGTTGCTCATAACAGATTTACCTTCTGGCATCTAAATCACAGAACGGCAGAAATGCAACCCCAAAATACCTGAACACAAACTACACAAAGAACTTTATGTTGGTCTGGGCTTTATGAAATGAAAGCCAAAATGATGTTTTTCCAAATCGAATTACCTTAATTACAGAATATCTGTCCATTTCTGTAGCAGGTTTGTTTGGTTTGGTTTGGTTATTTTGGCATGCCAGCTTCTAAATGTTCACGTGCTGTGTTCACTTGTTTTTAGTTTGCATTCCAAACATAGGGCAGGTCACACTTATAAGACAGTAACACACATCACAATAATGACTATTTATGCAGGTGTACTGTGTAGGCAGGGAAGTTGTATATTCCATATTACTCAATTGATCATCCAAACAATAGGATCAAGAAACAGGTTACTGGAAAAATCTTGCCAGGTTTTCACTGTATACATATGAGTAAGATTCATGAGCCTTCTAAAACTTGGTTTGGGAAGAAGCAAAGAGGAAACATTTTCCCTTACTGAGGTGATCAGGGCCTTAGCATTACTAGAAATTCTTCTGAAGTCTGACAAGCCAAAGGATGATCCAAGAAAATATCATAGTTATGATTCATTGATTTTTATCATTAAGCATTCAATAAACATTTTAAGCACCTAATATATGCCAGGATTTTGCTAAATTCTGGAAATATAAAAGTAAGCAAAACAAAGTCCTAGGCATTCATGGGGAAGAGTAAGACACAACATAATATACTCAGTATACCCAACAGAACTACAGAATTGTGTAGTTATTTCAGCAACTCTTTCTTTTTAAAAGCATGCTCCAGAAAAATCTCTGTTATCAAGATTCAGTTACCTCAAACTTAAAAACTTAAAACATCTGTATGTGGACAAATTCTACCAAAAAAAAAGAAAAAATTCTTTTGAGATATATATATCAAAGAATACACACACACACACACACACACACACACACACACACACACACATATACATTTTGTGAATTAAGATTGGATTTATGTGGATAGTGGAGGAAGGTAACCAGCTTATGGATCATTCTTTCTTGTTACAGAAAAGCATCTTCAGTAAATTCTCAATTAAATTAGAATCAAGTGATTAGCTTCCATGGTTACAAGGCCTTGAACATCAAAGCGTAATCAAGTCACAGAGGGAGATATTAAACTAACAGGTCATAGTTGAGTCAACTAATTAAAAAACGAGTCAGAGTACAAGGAAACTTCAGAAGGATAGTTATATCCTGGAAGAACAGTTCTGAAGTGCCCTGGAGACCTTTCTAATAATACGGCAACTAGCAATTCATCTAGCAGTGAGGTACTTGATAACCAGAGTCAACCTCTTTATAATTAACCTTCTCAACATATCCTGTCCTCTTTAATCACTTACAATATATCCTGAGATAAGATTTTAAATAACAGAAATGGGCACTTATTCAACACTATATCACTATAAACATTTTTCTATCGTACTAGTACAGAATAGGCTGCTTCTTTATTACCCTGTTTGTGTCATTGATTTACTGGGATGTCAGGATTTCAGTAAACTGGAGTTACTTTAAAGCAAAGCGATTGCCCTGTGACTTCAAACAACTCAAAACATTTGGGTTCTAGCTATCCAGTGGCCTTCTCCTGTCTAATAGTTTATTACTGATTATTAATGAAGATGAAACGAGCGAGCTATTCCCAGAAGGAGGCATCGCTACATCAAAGATAGAAAAAGAATACTCCTTGACTCGTGAGGATTACGTATGAGAAAAAGCAGGCAAAGAGTTCCTTGTACTGGCAATGCAAATGAATTGTAGTAATGAATGAACAAGCCTGCGGCAAATCCAAACAGGAAAGTACGTGAGAAAATATTTAGGGTAAATCACATGATGCCAGGACAGCTCATACTTACTGTATCTCACATAATGAACAATTAGTCCAATGCACACCGCCAGGACAATCAGAGATATAAAGGTGATGAGGCCAATCACCCAGGGCTCCAAACAAACTCTTTTCCTAGTCCTCACCACAGCTGGCCTAAGGAAGAAAGTAAATAATTGATTATATTAGAGCACACACCAGATCCACTCCTTAGGCAAAACAGATATTTCTGGGGAATAAAGGACATTCAGTGAGACCGTAGGGTACTGTCTGGGTTTAGAAGACCCCCTGGTCCCAAGCTGTTGAGGCCAAACCTGGCATGGTCTGCCTGATCTTAGGTAAATAATTTGACTTATCGGTGCCTCAGTTTCTTAATACATAAAAGGAAGATGATAACAATAGTAACTATTTCATGGAATTATTATGAAGATTAAATGAAGTACTGTGTGTAAAGTGCCTACAACAGTGCCCGGCATGTAGAAAGTACAATTAAATGTTAGCTACCACGTGTTGAGTCTGACATGAAGTTTGGCACTCTAGGAGTTCCAGAAATGTTTCACGTCTGTTTCTAACACTCTAGAATATTAAACGCCTTTGAAATGTGTTACAGCTTGAACCATACCAGGTTCCAGATAGAGATTCTAATTCCATTCTTCTTGTTTTCTGATGTATTTCCAAACTAAACTTTGAAGATACACGTAATAGATAACAACTAAAAAACCCCTCCTAAAGAACCAGAGTTTTTGAGCTAATATTTACCTCTAAGCTTCAGTGATACTAGAGGAAATCCTTTCTGCAGGAGATTCCCTCAACATCTTTTACTTGTTCTGCTTCCAAAAACATATATTGCTAAAAACTGTTGGTTTTTGTTTTATTGGTAAAGTTGCTGTTCCCTTAGAATGAAACAGCTGGTAAGCAAACTCGAAAGGCAGAAAAAATAAAATAGTAAGTCACAGCTGACTAAGGAGTTTGAACATGATACAGTTATTTTAAATTTCTTGAGGTATTTACCAAGCTGATAGAATCAGTGACATACACAGTACTTTTATCCACAGCACTACCTGTCTAGAACTTGAGAACTTAGGAAAAATGTGGTTTTCTCTTGGAGGAACACCAGGTGTTGAATCAGAATAAAAAATATTCTAAGTCCAGCCCTTACCTTACCAGTTCTGTGACTTGGAAAAATCATTTAAACTCTGAACTAAATTTTTCCATTTATCAATAAGCAACAGTATACCCACTCTGTCTAAACCACTGTGGGACCCAGAATGAGATCATGAATGTGTAAATTTCTTGCAAACTGCATAGCACTTGACAATAAATAATTTTTTGCTTCTAAAAATCAAGGGCACTCTGTTTCCTGATGGGATAGCACAAGGAAGGTATGATGTCATCATATTAGTCCCTGCCATGTCATCATTTCATCTTGGCTCTGACTGTACACAGAATAGGAAACATTATCACAGAAGTCAATAGTGTCATCATCACTACATGACTCTGCCCCTGCTGAAAGCAATGAGATGTAGTGGGAGGCTCCAGGGACGCTGTTGGTCTCCTCCCTTGTTCCTGTGATTTTCCCATGGGACTGTAGCCAGGGAAACTGCATTTTCCTCTCCTTAACACTTCCTATTTCCAGTTCTCCCTTGAGTGCAATTCCAAACACCTGTTCCTAGAATGACAATTACTGCAATATAAAAAGATAACCTCCTCCATGAAGAGGTTATTTTTTACGTGCAATTGTGCCTAAGAAGCCCCCCAAAACTGTCTCCTGTTCCTTCATCCCTAAATGCTTGTTATTCATCTGTTGCAGAAGAAAGATGTGCATAGCAGACGTAAGCAAAACCTCGGTGGGGATACAGGGAGGGAAGGGTTTCTCATTAATGTCAAAATATGCCAGATAAAGAAAAATGTATTTGTGCTTTAGGAAACATGATAAAATTATTGAAAGTATATGATTGCCATGTAGAATTGTGAAATATTAGACATGTTCTAATTGTACTACAGTAACTTTTAATCAGGACAGAAAAATAAACAAGGCAGTCATTAAATTGATGTAGTAGATGGTACGTATTAACACGAGAAACGTCTATGATACATTTTAATGAAAAGAGGTTGCAGAATAATATGCAGTCTATGTATGTTCCAATTTTTATAAATAACGAAACTATGTATGTGTGTGAATAATCCAATATGTAGGAGACACACCAAATTGTTAACAGTAGGAAGTGAAAAACTTTCATTTTAAAGAGAAATTTTAATTTTAATTCATGTTGTTTCTGTTTTATGGTGGATTTTTTAACATCAAACATGGTTTTTAGGTTAAATGAGAGAGAGGGGAGTTTTTAAAAATAAAATTAACTAAGGAAGATTCTGTAAGTCTTTTCAGAATTTACAGCACCACTGGTTTCATGGTATCACTGTGACTTTTTCATGACCTTCACCTTCCACAACTATTTTAGCAACATGTTGTCCTTAGTGACTTAAAAAGAGACAAAAGGGATATCACGGGACAAGAAAAAACAACCCAGTCAAAAACACTTAGAATAAACAATTAAAAGAGTATATTTCTGAGCCCTGCCACCAACTTATTTATAGTCTTGTACCAGCAGATTTAATTATTTCTCTTATTTTCTCCATATAAAAAACAAGGATAATAATTCCAGACCCCTCCTAACCTAATGAGATATATAGAGATGAAAATGATAACGTGTTTTAGTACTTTGAACTCCTAAGTGGAAAAGTCATTGTACAAATAACAGGGATGATTATTATTATCATCATTACTTTAATTATCAATAATAATGGTAATGAACACATACCCAAGACATTGGTCATTTGAATCAGTACCTCTTCCATTCCCAGTATGTATAGCATTGCTTTGTAAACTAATTTACTATATTTCTTTTTTGTTTGTTTCACTTTTATTGTGGTACAATTAACCCTGCTTTTAATTACTTTTTTCCTTCTCAGCAAGTGATTTAATACTGATGCTCCAAATTAGATGTGGTAGGAAGTGCACTCAAAAAAAAAAAGTGCGCTCAACAGATGAATAACAAGCATTCATCGTACCGCTCAAAAAAATTAATAAAATAAAGGAATAAATTCATTGTACATATCCACAGACACTTGTGTAACTAACCTCCTCCTGAACATAAACACTTGTCTAATCATTATTTCCACCCGTTGAAACTTATTTAAACTTCGTGTAAAATCACTTTCAGACAAACTGGTTGAACTCTAATAGCTTCAGTGATTTTCAATTGCTTTCTTTCTACAAATCTTTTTTTTTTGCAATTTGTAGCTGTGTGTAATTAGTGGCAAGTCAAGTGAATATAGCAGTTAAAATATGCATATGTTTTTATTAGCCTCGATTGCCAGAATACAAACAAGATGTCCGGAGTTGCATCAGCATGATCAATTCTTAATGTGTCATTTTTAGAATAGTGCTAAAAAAAAAAAGAAAAGCAGCAATAATGACAGAAAGGCAAGAAGAATAAAGGTACTAATGCAAATAAACCTCATGGCAAGCACTGGAAAATAGTAAGCGAAGACTCACAGTGCATCACAGGAAAGTTTACCAGAATAAGCCCCTGTGCAACAGCCCGTGTTTCAGCAGCACAGTACAGTTGAACGATTCCAATAAACATGTCCACAACATCTATAAAGTTGGTGGTTCCAAAGTATTATTACCAGCTACTTAAGCCAGAGCTCAGCAAATATTTCTGTAAAGTTTCAGATAATGACCTCTTTAGGGTTTCCAGAGTATAGGTACTCTGTGGCAACTGCTCAACTCTGCCTTTGTAGAACAAAAGCAGCTATAGACAATACATAAGCAAATGAACTTGGCTGTGTTCCAAGAAAACATTATTTCTGTTCCCTGACATTTGAGTTCCTTGTCATTTTCACCTGTCATTTGTTTTTTTTAATTTGTTTTTAACCTTTTAAAATATGAAAATAATTTCTTAGCTCAAGCACCATACAAAAACACGTGGACCATATTTGATTCTGGAGCCAGTGTTTATTAATGCTGACTTAAGAATAGCCTACAAGTTAATGATAATTGTGTTAGGAAGCTACAGTTATCTTTTTATTTTCTAGTTTCACCCTCATGGCAAATCTAATGTGACCTATCTCCAATCTGACAATTCTCCATAAAATTTGCCCTATAGCTTGATAAGACATTTCTCTGTTGTCTCTCTAGTCTCTAAATTATTCTCCATTTCAGTAAGCTATCTTTCTAGAAGTGATATAGGCTATGATTTAGACTACTTAAAACCTATGTCTGCTCCCCTTAGCCTAACATTCCTTCTCTTCCCCACAAACTCTTTGCCTCTGTTCCTGCTGCCTTCTATGTAGAGTAATTTAGAGTCTATTCTTTGCTTGCATCAGATAAGCTAGTGTGTATTTAAGAGCCAATTCAAAACTCCCCTGTACTCTAGTCAGGTCTATTCACTCCTCAGTATTATGTTAAATTATGCATTTTCAGCTCCTTTGGGACAGGGTCTGAGTCTTATTTCTCCCTATAGTCTCTGAGAACATGCTCAAGAAATATTTACAGAAGTGAATTGAAATTGACTAAATCAAATTGAACTGACCATTTGTCAATATCACAATATGGGTCAATCTCTCTCAATGCACTTGGGACCCATGTTAGTCAAAGAAAAGAACTCGAAATATAACACACAAGGAAAGGCAGGTCAGGCATTGTAAATAAGACTTGTTATTTAAGTCAATTCTGATTTCAATAAGACACTTTGTGCAAAAATCTTTGTGGTTAATATTTCTATTTAACCTGTATTTGTAACACATGATTACCCAACTGTGTATTCTATCTGTTGTAAAAGTTCTATTATAGTACAGAAAGTGACAAGTGCAAATAAGAAGACATTAATTTCAAGAGACACATTATTTGGGGTTATTAAATGTCTACAGGTTACAATATTAAAACAAAAGCATATTTGTACTCGTGTATCTGTCATTATCTTAGCTCATAGGATTGTGCCTGCTTGTCTTATTCACACAAATACTTTAGATGCATTTTACTTTGTGGAAAGTTCATACCAGCAAGCATTGGTGAGACCTTTGATCTTTCTCATACTTTCTAGGACAAGACTTTTAAAATATTCAAGGTAGAAATAAAATAGAATTTTGTATGT